TATCTTTTCCACCGGCCTATGTACTCCATGAATGCCCCAGTTTATGCAGCCCATTGGCGCCTTTGGTATCTTTGATTTCTCTCCGGAACCTGCCTTGAGAATATCGGCCCACCTTTACAGGATCGGAGTTGCGTGGCCAGAAACTCCGTACATCTCTGTACTCTCTTTGCAGCTAGGCTGAGGCATTATAAGCCCCGCTGATTGGTTTGGGTCCATTTGGTGCTATTCCAAGATCGATTCTCCTTTGCAAAGTTTCCTGTGTTTGTGGGTATTGCTTCATGTGTATGTGCGAGTGCGATTGCGCTGTTGCTCGTGGGCGTGCACCGTATTGGAGCGCTTTTCCCGGCTTCCACTATAAGCACGTTAGCAGTCAATCCTCTCGAACTATTTCTTCTTGCACCTGAAAGAGGTAAGCCCCACCTGTAACTCACTGGCCCTTGACCCACATAGCATCGAACTCATAGTGTACTATCCACGCTCCCCTCTTTCCCTGTGCGTTTGTTCTACGGGGCACATACGTTTAAGCATCGCCTCTGCACAGCGTCAAGCACAGGGACCACCGGCGCGTACGTAGCCCTCTTTATATATTTCCCTTTGGGCTCCAAGGATCGAGGGGGTCCACGTTTGGTATGTTTGAGTTAGTGTCGGCGTCTAAAGGATGAGTGGTATTTTGGTATATGTAAGGGATTTGATCTGTGACGAGCTACCTTCTGGAGCCTGTCCTGCCCTCCGTCACTGTGCCGCCCTCTTTATCGCGCGCACCCCTGGTCACGTCCACGTAATCGACCCGAGCTACTCTCCGTCCCGACATGCCGCCCATCTGCGCGGCATCTACGACGCGCACCTCCTGTTACGCCCCGTGTAGACGCAGTCAAAGAGCTGTTGTTGCCCTAACGTTTGATGATCCTAAGCTGGGTAGCCGCTCGCCTAGCTTGGACGAGGTGCTCGCAGAGGTCGACCCACTTCTCGAGGTGATCTGCGCGCGTGAGTGGAGGGATTCCGCGCGCCATCTGGTTCTCACCAACATCGGTCGTAGTGCGCAGGAATGCGTTCGGGTGGATGCCCTTGTCAAGCTGGGATTCTCAGCAGAGCCCATGGGGACCGCGGATCATTGGGACCGCTTGGGGCGCAGGAGTGTGAACGGTTACTCGGACACGCATTTGTTCCCCCCTAACCTCAATCCTGGCATATATAAAGGTCGCTCGATCCCTGCAGTAGTCACGCTGATCGATATGCTGTTATCGGCTGGCATGAGCGCTGAGGGCGACTGCTGTGGCATGCTTAACGATGGCATAGAACCAACGTCTTACGTAGGGGATCAAATATACGGTGGTGTCGACAGAGCTCCACTGAACGCGTTGATCAACGGAATCTGCGAGGTCGAGAAAATCATCTATGAGGCAGTTCCGGGGCAACCGTGCGATCGAGACGACCTTACCATTCAACTGGACTACATGTTCCGAGTCTTCGAGGTTCTTATGAACGCGGGTGCCAGCCCCCGTCCATGTAATCACAGCTTGGTTCCAAGCTTGTACGGATCTCTCGAGCTGGCGTGCCGCTCGCCATGGCAGTGTGGACCATCATCTCACTCCGGGAGAGTATTTTCATGTCTTCTGTCGGCACGCGCTAGCCTGTGTTGCAAGCTAGGGAGCGCGGTGTCACGGCATTCTGCTTGGAAAGTCAAGCAGCTGCTGCAGCTTCAAGCCGGAAATTTGAATGGCTTGCTGTTCGGGGTGGTAAGCGTTGTTTGGTCACATCCATCAAGTGCTTGGCTGACATCGTCTTGGCAAGGTTCGACACTGTGCAGAGTCGGCAGAGGAAGAAGAGATGCAAATTCAAATCATACGACATCTAATTCAGGCTGGCGCACTACAGGGACAAAATCCCACTATCTATGTGCGTAATGCCATCCTTTCAACAGCGATAGAGAGTGGCTGCGGCTTCAAAGTGGTGGAGTGTCTGGTCGGCCTAGGTGCAACAATACCTCCGTGGGTCTCGCTCGAGCTGCGAAAATGCTCGTTGGAGGTTGTTCAGTATCTGGTGCACGATGCCACCAACATCAATTTCCGAGTTTGGGATACCACCCTACTCCACTTTCTTTTCCCCCAATTTTGGGCCGACAAGGTTCACCCGAACTGCGCTGCAAAGCTCAAGTTCTTGGTCAGAGCAGGCGCCGTCGTCAACGCGATGGACCGACGCGGCCGGACACCTCTGACTGTATCTCTGTGGCATGTGGCTGCACGAGACATGCTTGTCGTTCAGGCGCTGTTGGACGTTGGCGCCGATCCCAGCTACGACTGCCTGCATGCGTCAATATTTCGGGGATGTCCCTCTCCGGAGCTGACAAGGTTCCTGATTCGACATGGGGCAGATGTCAACAAGGTGGACAAGTATGGGCGAACACCGCTGCATTGGTTGTGCTTTACCGAAGTCACCGACACTGATGCGCATTCCCAGGTCTTGGGCGTCCTCTTGGGCTCGGGAGCTGACGTGAACGCGCGCGAGAACGACAATGGCCGCACACCACTGCACATTGCTTGCAATAGCCGATACGGCATCAGCCCACCCCTCCTTGACCTGCTCCTGAAGGGTGGCGCTGATGTGAAGGCGGCGGATAATAAAGGATCCACTCCGCTGCACCTGGCAACCTCGTTCCTTGACCCGGAAATCCTCACTATTATCGCCTTACTTGTGAGCGCCGGCGCCTGCGTGGACGCAACCGATGCTAGCGGATGCACACCACTGCAGCTCGCAGCCCTACGTGGAAACACTCTCGCAATGGAGCGCCTCATCGTCGCTGGAGCAGATGTGAAGCTGGTGGACCCAAGGGGTGGCGGATTGCTTCACTACGTCGCATGCAGCCCAACCCCCCTCCTTTCTTCTCTTCCCAACGTGCTTACACCATATGTTGAAATGGACATCAATATGTGCGATTACATGGGACTCTCGCCTCTCCACTGGGCCGCTAGGGGCTCGCATAACCTAGCGAACCTGGAGCTAATGCTCAGGGCTGGTGTGGACGTCAATGCACGCGACCACCAAGGGCGTACGCCTCTTCACCATGCCGCCAGACTCGGGACACCCCGAATTGCAAAAGTACTCGTCTGTGCAGGCGCCGATCCAAATTCACTTGATCAAAAAGGTGACACGCCGCTCACCCTGGCAGCCCGCGCAGGCTCGTACGAGGGCATCATCCAACTGTTGAAGGCGGGCGTGTGTGCACCCGAGGCTGCAATCGAGGTTAGATTAGCCATCTCATCCCAACGCTAAACTCATACATGTCCCATTGTGTCACGTATTTAGTTCGGGGAGCCTTTAGCCCTACCAACCCCGACAAAAAATTCAAGTCTTTTCCCAGTGTTGTTACACATGGTGCGATTTTTGAAAAAGGCAAGATTGCTCAGCGTTTCTTCCGGCTGCATCCATGTGCTGAATGGTACCTCAGCTTCCAAATCCCTCTTCACTTGCGCGCGAACAGCTACAGACTACGCTCATTGCAAATTTACATGACGCCTATAAAAATTACCCGCTCCGCGCCCTACAAGAATGGCATGCTAACAAGATATTGAGGGAGAAAGTGGCTTATTTTCCTGGTGCGGCAACTCGGATCCACACGTGTAAAATGCTTATAAGCGCAATCTCTTCGCTACGTTCCACCCAGATGAAGTTAACAACATGCAGATGCGAATGCTAGGCCAAGGTGGATTTGGGGACTGCTACCTTGGTGAATTCCTTGGGCGCTCGGTTGTGAGCAAACGGCTGCGCTTTCACTACGAGCGAGAGAGGTACATGAAGGTGTGCCGCTTTGTTTTCTATCCCTCCGATGGTGAACGCTGAATTTGAGGCTGCCGTAGCACCTTTTATACGAAGCATCAATATGGAGGAGGCTCAATCACCCAAATATCGTCCCCTTTCTCGGGTTGCCATCGATAGATGGTCTCCCCCATCTCATGTCTCCTTTCATGAAGAACAGTACTGCCGATGATTTTGTAAAGAAAAATCCAGATGTTAACCGGGTGCAACTGGTGGGCACACCTTGTTGACCTATTGTCACACAATTTCACGCTCCTAGACCCACCCTCTATGTTGCAGCTCGTACAAATTACCCAGGGGCTCGAACATATGCACATGCAGGATCCACCCATTATCCATGGAGATCTGAAGGCCGTAAGTGTTTGGGGTTGTCTGTACGCCATCGTTACCCAAACTAAACTCCATTCTCTAGAACAATATTCTCGTCTCCGAGGATGGATCCGCATGCCTCTCCGATTTTGGACTCTCGAGCGCACATGGAAACCCACTCGACAATCGCACCTGCGACGAGCAGCTCATCCACACTCGCACCCGCACTGATTACGAGGACGTACGATGCCAACTTCCGGTGGGGCGCCCCCGAAGTGCTCTTAGGCGAAATGTGTCGGACACCGGCGTCTGACATCTTCTCACTTGGAAGGCTCATGGTCGAGGTTAGCCGCATCCGCCTTCACTTCTTCAAGCAGGTTATTGTATGTTTAATACACTGTTGCCGATGACAAATGCAGCTTCTCACAGGCGATATACCATTTTCCGGTCTCACTGACGGCGCGATCATTGAGCGCATAGTTGCCGGCCAGTATGACAGACCGACCGACAGCCATGCCATCGCTTGCGGGCTGGACGACAACATGTGGGCATTGGCCCTGGAGTGCTGGAATCGAGATCCTCTCGAGCGCCCGAGCGTATCGCAGGTGTTAGAAAGCCTTCGGCGCATGTCTGAACCTCTTTCAATGAAAGAGCGTACATAGGCCCGCGGCTTGTATTAGAGAAGTGAGGAGGTTCATGAATACTATGCGATGTTCCAATACTCAATCCTCTTTGTGTAGCTCATCCCTTTTCCCTTTTGCTTGTCCGAATCACAACATTGCCCCCCTCCGAACCTGTGCTACTGCTGTGGAGATAGGAGACAAGTATTTTGGGACCGGGATAGGCGTTTTGAAACGACCGCGACTCCGAGTCACCAATGCCCCATGGCCTAATTGGTTAAGGCGTCCGACTGTTAGGACAACCGCAAATCGGGAGATTGAGAGTTCAAGCCTCTCTGGGGCAGTACCTTTTGATACTCTGCAGTGTAGCAAGTGCAGGGATCCTTTTTTCCTGCGGCATCCCACACTCCTACGCACAACTCCCCCGCCTAATTTGGGGTCGGCTCAGTATGCAACAAGATCGTTTTGCCGCACGGAGGGTTGTTTGGTACGATACACTGCTAGTCGCTGCTAGAAAATTTGGACGCCATAGCCCATCCAGCCGCTAAGTGTGCGAGCCTCCCATCGACAATAAATCCACGCTTTTCGTAGACTGAGGATCAAGGTTATCACCTAAACTGTTTGCTGTCCGTTGAGAATGAGTTGGGACTTGCCTCGAAGTTCTGGCTGAAGCTCCGACAGCGCAATGACACGCTTCACCACGTGCTCCCCCTCGTCCAAGCGCTGCTTGGGAGAACCGGCCGACTCATCAAAAGGAACGTCGAGTGTGACCAGTTTCATATTTGCAGAGGACATTCCTGTTTGTTTCCAGAGTCATAAGGATGTGCAGTGAGTGCCAAATATTGTTGCAGCCGACCTGGATCGCTGGCCAGAAGGGGCGAAGACTCGATAACGCTCTCCGTTTCGTATCCCGTTTCCTCCTTGAGTTCACGGATGGCCGCTTCTTCTGCCGTTTCTCCGTCGTCGATAAGGCCTACGCACATAATTTGTGATGGGTTGATGGACAAGTATCAGGGCCTTCTAATCGTACCTGCCGGAAGTTCTAAGGGGGTAACAGGGGGGTCACGACGGGCTGAGCTTAAGGATGAAAGACAGTCATCCAGACACTACGAACCAACGGTAAATGCGCCCATCGGCGGCCTAAATTGCTCAACGATAATCGTAGACGGTGGGAAGTCCTTTGACTTCGAGCGAAGGATAGGAAATATATCGACAGCTATCGAATCCGCGGGAAAATTTCGCTAGGCGCTGCTTTTACGGCCCGAAAAGCTGTTGTACGGAGACTTACCGTCGATTCCAGACGAACCGCGCGTCGTGCGCTCAGCCATTTCCCATACCCTCTAAACTTGATCATGAGCCAGAAGCATGGGCAAAAGAGAGAATACGGAATAACGCTGACGTCTTTGCCCTCTTGGTCTTTCCATTGAATCTTCTTGAGTGTAACCCATTTGGCCTCGGTTATCGGAAGGTCAGTCACGGAGACGATTGCTGGTTCGTTGTGGTGCATGTTTCTCCGAAACACTGTTAAATCCAGCTGCTGTTTTCGGGGAACTGTTTTACGGAGATGCTGATACACACAGTGAGAAGATGGCTTCAACGATCGCAGGATGGAGTTCATTCAAGTAAAGGGGAGACTCCATTACGTCATTCTTCCCGCAATATTGGCTTACCTAATGCACGCGGTATGGCAGTCAGGCAGGACCCTGGAAATGCGTCTCTTCGCCTTTGTGCCTCCGGTCTCGGTTGCTCTGAACGAGTTTTCGAGAAGGTTCGCCTTCTCCAGGACCCTCTGCCCTACCCACCACCCCTCTCGGCTTCTTTTCTCGTATATTAGAGCTCACCCTGAGGGCCTTTTCGATTCGCCGGCGGTCAGGATGGTCCGCACTCTTGACGACCTGGACCCGGCGCGCTCCCTTCGGGGGATGAACGCCACGGTTCTATCTCAGTGGGAGGCCGGCCAGATCCCTGCCTCCCTGTTTGACCCTCCCCCTATTCCGCCCTACCTGCCCCCCGTGGCTGGGTGGTGTGGGATAATTGACCCTCCTCTCTCTCGGCGCCCGAATGGCCGGCTTGAGAAGGGCGCTATTGCCAATTGGGCCGATGATCTGCTCACGGCCTTCCTCATGTCCCATCCTCAAGGTACTATGTGGGGCGCGCATATAAGGCGGGTTCTTCATTTTGAATCGGTCCTCATCTTCCCTCTCCTGTCCCCCTCTCGCAGAGGTCCTGCCACGCAGATCCTCTTGCCTTACTCGGATAACTTCCAGGACATCATATCCGCTGCCGCCATTGCCGTCCTCCAGTTCGTCAACGAGATAGACTACGATGACCCGAACACTCCGACGCTCGTCGTCTGCTCACGGAGATCACTCCTCTCCCGGCTTTCGTCGTACCCGAAGTACGGCGCACGCCACTCCCACGCTCGGCTCGCCCTTTATGACTCTCAGGTCCGGCAGGCGCGTCACGTTTTCCTTGCCTCGCCCCCCCCTGGGCGGCAGGCGTCGGAATTCGCGGCCTTCAAGGGCCTCCGCTCGCTCTCTGGCGATAGAGACATCTCTGTTGCACTCCCCACGCGATTTGAGCCCTCCCCTCGTGAGATGGCCCAGTCCGCCCGCTTACTCGCCCAAGATGAATGGTGGGAGTTTGAGCGTCCCCTCCTGGAGTCAAGCGAATGGGCAGCCCGGTTGGGGCTCGCCCACCCCGTCTTCACTCGCTCGCCAGCGATTCCCCTCACCTACGCCGCCTCCCATTTCGCGCTTATATCAAGGTTCGCCTCTGGACATTGCCACGTGGGCGCGTATTACCAGTTCGCTCACGTCCCTAAGCCTGTCGGCTGCCCGTGTGGAGTTGATCGACAAACTCTCCTCCACATCCTCCTCGCCTGTCCCCTCGTCTCTACCCGATCTCGTAGAGATATCGCTTACTTCCCGGGCGGTCGGATTAATATCCGCACCTTCTTCGACTCGCCCAGCAACACTCACGCCCTTCTTTCCTTTATCCGGGGAACCGGTATGGGCACCCCACACTATCCCATTCGGTCGGTACGGAACTATGTTCTATGACGACTCAACCGCGGATATCATCGCCGCCAACAGCATCTATTACGGCAATCCGGCCGCCCCTTCCGGCCCCATTCGCCGCTTTTGCTCGCTCCCGTGGAATATTCCTCCCCGCCCTGTCACCGCTGTCGTCGAGGACGTTAAGTCCGAGCCGGACCTAGAGTCCAACTGGTTCTTGTGATCGGTTGCTGCCGTCTCTCTTTTCTCTGTTTCCCTTCTCACCTGTTTTCCGTCTCACCTGTCGGTTGTACAATGTATCGCGCTTTCATGCCGGCCCGCTGGCGCCCTCTTCCATGGCCTTTCCTTTTTTTAGATATGCTCGTTCTCCGCTTTTGAGCCTCTCCGCCCCTCTTCTTTTTCTACTATCTTTTCGTCTCCTTCTTTTTTCCAGCCTGTATTTGCCTTCGGGATGTTGCTTGAAATATAGCCGGGCTTCCAATT